AGGGGTGCCAAGAGCCCGGACATGGAGCAGACAGAGCCTTGGCTGGAGCTGCCTGGGTTTATGGGGCTGGCACAGGGTGTCGCGGGCTACGGGACATCGACATGCTGGGCACGGCGCTCGCGAAAGCTGTGGGGAGGAGCTGGGCCGCGGCCGGCACTGTGCGGCACTGGCTCAGTGCCGAAACTGCGGCACCGGGGAGGGGACGCGGATGTCCTGTCCCTTCTCCAGCCGCCGCTCGCAGTCGATCAGGTAGTTCACGCCATCTATCACCAGCTGCACCAGCTCCACCTGCGCCAGGAGCACACAGGTCCCCACTCGGTGCCTGCCCGGCCCTGTTCCACAGGTTCGCAGTGCCACGTGCCCGCAAGCACTGCAGCGCCCAGACCCCCCGCGACCCCTGCTCCCCTGGCGCCCACCTCGGACTTGCCCAGCCGGTCCAGGTTGGAGATGTCGAAGACACTGCCGGTGGCTGCCGTGTCCCTCCCACCAGTGCCACGCTTCTGCAGTCGGAGGTTCTCCAGGATCTTGGGGAAGCGGCTGTCCTGGGGCCAGAGAGGGAAGGTGTCAGTGCCTGAAGGAGCCGCTGGCGAGGGAAGGGGGGACCCTGGGGCTGCAGGGTTGGGGTGCGCGAGCCCTGTGCCCGCAGACTCAGGGCTGGATCCCGGCCCCTCTGCACAGCCCCAGCTCCTCCTGCAGTCGCTACCTTGCTCAGCAGCGGCAGCTTGATGTGGACGCCGGCCCGCAGCCCTGTGCCCAGGTTGGAGGGGCAGGTCAGGATGTAGCCCAGCCGCTCGTTCCACATGAACTCCCAGCCGCGCTCCTGGATCAACCGCTCCACCTGGCCCAGGGCAAAAGCAGCAGCTCAGCCAAGGCGAGCAGGCAGGACTGGCAAGGGTCCTATCCGTGTGTCCGCGTGTGTGTCCGGGGCTGGCAGCGCTCACCTCCTTCAGGCCGCGGCAGAACCGCTCGAACACGCGCTTCATGTTGCCCCCCTTCTCCATGGAGATGATGCGCGTGTGGTCCTCCTCGTTGATCCACACCAGGAAGGTCTTCTCGTTGTTGTGCCTGGGGACGGGCCGGCGCTCAGCCACGCAGTGCCCATGAGCCCAGCCGTGTGCTGGCAGCACCACGGCCAGAACGCAGCCCCGGGCCCCTGTGCTCCACTCCGGCCCCATGGCCCATGGCTGGAACAGCCCACGGGCAGGCAGAGGGAAGGGAGAACAGGGGCTTCCGGAGCAGGATGAGGCTCCGCTCACCAGATGCCGCGGGCGTCGGGCCAGTCACGGGCCATTCCTGCCGCCGTCAGCAGCGGGGACACAGGCTTATCGAAGAGGAAGTGGTCCTGGGGGAGACGGCGGGTGAGC